GTGTGAGAGAGAGAGAGAGAGAGAGAGAGAGTTTAGTTTGAGGCTGATGAGGGAGGGGCTTTCACCAGAGTAGCTTGCCTGACTGAGAATGTCCATACCCTTTAATTCTAAGGCCAAAATTTGCAACGAGTTTTTTAAATTCAAATTAGTTAAATTTACCAAGGACCTTTCATTTTGTACGGTTTTTTAAAACCATGCTGATGATTTTGAACAGTGAAATGAGTGCATGCTCAAGCCGAAATAATCACTGAGTGCTGATTTAAAAAAGCAACTCTTTGGACAAAAAAATGTATCATCAGCTTCTTGTTTTCAACAAACAAACACTGAGGTTTGGATGGAATTTTTATTTTATTTTACAAACAATCACCCGTGGCTTTGATCGTTACTTCCACCCTTTATTTACCGCAGACACATTTCTTCTTCTTCTTCTTCTTCCTCGTTCACGAAATGGCAGGCGCAAAAAGATTTGGGTGGGCCTCTCCAGCAGGTTTCCCCTCAGTAGAGCTGGGCGAAGAATCGATTCCGAAACCGATTCCCGCATTTAGTGTTACGGAGGAAAAGTTTAGATGCCTTTTTACGTAAACCAGCAGTTACCAATTACTTTATTCATTAAAATCTTCTTTAAAATTTTTTTTTTTTTTAAAGTTTGTGCCTTGTAGTGTTCCGAAATCAAAGTTATCCTAAATCCTGAAGATATTCGGACCCAACCTGATAGCCAGCCGAAGGGATCACATCATAAGAAATCTTTTGAAGAGCTCAGGGGGAAAACGACTGTAGTAGTCACAAACTGGAAATCGTGAGGGTGCCAGTTTTAAAATCTTGTGGACTCATAACGTCCTATTTGTTTGACTGGTTGTTTTTTGTTATGTGTTGTTGAATGGTAAATCTTACGACAATAATCAACCAATAGTTGTACAGAAATTCAGTTATAAGTCAACAAGCGTTCAAAATTGGTACCCTCACGATTTTCAGTTTGTGACTACCGTCGTTTTCCCCCCCTGTAGTCTCCATTTGGGTTCGGAGTCGATTCCTTCGACTCCTAGCTTTCAATAATCGGGATCCTAACCGCCCTCTCCCCAACATAAGGTTTCCAGAACCTCTTGTCGCTCCCCTCCTCGGGAACTGTCAGATCTCGTCCTTTGATGAGGAAATGTCACAACAAACTAACATCGTGAGTGACATTTGTGTAGTCTGGGTGGACCCACCCCGTCCTGGCCATGGGTGGCGCGGCTGGAGGATTACAGAACGCTCGTCTGTGACTGGAACAATTGTGGGGCATCGTGGTGAAATCAGGCGCTCCGCAAAATAATGAAATTGTAGGAGAAAACGGCGTTTTTCTGTCCGTTTGGCAATTTTCGCAGCGATTTTTTGATTTTTCGGGTGTCTGCCCACCCATGAGTAATATTAAATGGGTACCTGACTTCGAGTTGGAGAGGTAAAGGCGGCGTAAAAAGGAACTGGCCACCCTGTCCACAATATGCCGAAGGCCCAGGAAGTTGTCTCACTTACAAGGCCAATCCCCAATGTCCGGATCGGATGCGGGGAAAACTTAAGAACTTACCTTTTATGTCCATTTCAAAACACATTGCTGTGTGGATTTCACTGAAAACGTCGATTTAAATTAAAGGCACTAAAAAAAAAAATGCAAATTTACAATTTCCAGGGACTCTTAAGCTTTGGACGGCACCAGACTTTGGCAGCCATTTTCTCGGTAATTTTAGCTCTCAAACCAGGTACGTGACCCCCACCTCCTGCAATCTAAATAAAATATCTTTACTTCTATTGAAGATAGATGGCTATTTTTTTTATCGGAAGCAAGACAAATGAACGAGCTTTTAGATGATACCAATAATTCCATAATGTTCTCAAAAATTGACGAGCGCCTGATTCCACCGCGTCTATGACGGGAACAATTAAAGTTGGGCGGCTCGTTGAGTGTCGATTGTGGTTTTGGTTTTGAGCTGGGGAGATGGCGTCATTCCCAACTCCCCCCTCCCCTGTCCTTTTTTGCGTTTTAGATTCTGCTCTTGAGATGTTTTTGAGCAGTTGGCAAGATTATAAAATGCCAGGATAAATTAGTTAATTGGAAAAGGAAATGGGAGGGGACTGTAAATGTCTTCACAGATAAATGCAGGGCTGAGGCTTTTGTGTTCTTCCTGAATTCCCTTTCTGTCTTACACACTCATCTCTCTCTCTCTGTCTCTCTCTGTCTCTGTCTCTGTCTCTCTCTCTCTCTCTCTCTCTCTCTCTC